AAAAAAAAAAAAAAAAAAAAAAATGACGTTGTGTATAGCGACCATGACAGCACACGCACACACAAGACAAGCACACCCTTCTCTAACTCACCGTCGGATTCGGCAGTCGCCGAAGAAAAGTTAAACCCCAAGAACTTATACTGGTGAGCGGGACATGAATTTTTTATGACCCTACCGTCTTCACCCAAATAGAACGCCCGGTAATTATTGCCGTATCTGGACTGAAAGTTGTGCCAAATACGGATCTAATGACCGGGCGTTCTATTCGGGCGAAGACGGTAGCTTCTCTTCTTCCACCGAACGCAATGCCCCAGCATCATTCATCACTGGATTTGGACCGCAAAAGGGTATACATACGTTCATGATGAGGGAGGTTCATGAGAATTTGGCAGAAGAAGGCAGGACTACTACCGTAGTCTATCCCAATTTCGAGAAAACGGGTAGCGAAGGGGAGACTCGATCTCTGGATCGATTAGAAGTTTCTTCGACAGCTTCCGTTTTCTAAAACGTTTTCTAAAACGTTTTCTAAAACGTTTTTGAGCGAACGGAAGTTTCTTAACTTTCTGAGCGAAGGGGAGACTCGATCTCTGGGTGTGTCGGTTGGTCTTAGCATCGACCAATCGACTTGCGGGGGGACTTGGTTGGTATTACTCCTCTCTCTCTCTCCATAACCCCTGCCAAAGAGATTAAGACGACCCGTCAGAGAACAGGAGGAGGAGGAGGAGGAGGAGGAGGAGGAGGAGGGGAAGGAGGAGGAGGAGGAGGAGGTAAAAAGATCGAGTCCAACTTTGTGGAGCCAACAAAGGTAGAAAATCAGCGCAGGAGGAGGAGGAGGGGGGGGAGGAGGAGGAGGAGGAGAAGGAGGATTTCGATTAACTAGCCAATCAGTCGACTAATCAATCAGGTGAGCAAGCAGACAATCGACCAACTTGTCAATCGATATCATCTAGCCCATCAGTCATTGAATCACTCAGTCAATCACTCACCCAATCACTCACCCAATCACTCACCCAATCACTCACCCAATCAATCAGCCAATCACTCACCCAATCAATCAGCGAAGTTTTAGCGAATCAAACCGCCAACGGATCAGATAACGGTGGCGGATTGATTCGCTAAAACTTCGCTGATTGATTGGCTGATAACCCAATCAGATAACCAATCAGTCATTTTCATTTTCTATTCTCATGGTACTCCACAGCAAGCCATCTCTCCTTTCGTGCCTTCTTTTTCCAAAACGGTGGGTCCATCTCTGTTTAATCTGCGCTGAACTTTTTACCTCCTCCTCCTCCTCCCCCCTCTCCTCCCCCCCCTCCTCCTCCTGCGCTGATTTTCTACCTTTGTTGGCTGTTAACCTATTGATGGATCGACTGGTTCATATATTCATTGATTTTTTGGCCGATGAAATTGTTGTCTAATTAATGCCTAATTGATTGATTGATTGATTGATTGATTGATTGATTGATTTGCCGATTGACTTATTAACCAACTGATTGATTGATTGATTGACTTATCGATTGATTGATTGATTGATTGTTTGATTGATTGAATGATTGATTGATTGATCGATTGATTGATCGATCGATTGGTTGATTGATTGATTGATTGATTGATTGATTGATTGATTGCTCGTTCGCTGGATTGACCAACAGAATTGGCTGACAAATTTGTGCTCACCGCCACAGTTGCGTGGAGGACAAGAAAAAGGTTGAAAACGAAAAAGGAAGGAAGGAAAAGTTTATGAATGACGAAACTTCAAGAGAGAAAATGGAGAAGAGAGAAGGAGGAGGTGGTGGATTCGGTCGCAGGGCGGGAGAAGCCAGAGAAACAGCGATCCTTTCCCGATGCCCGCTCCCTGTGAAGATCTGAATTGAAAAGACGGCAAAGATTTAAAAAAGAAAAATGAAGAGCGGAACATACACGAGAATGTGCGGAAGAAAGCCAACAAGTGAGCAAGGAGAGAGAGGAAGGGCAGGAGAGAAACATGCGGAGAAAG